GTGCAAAATTTACAAAAAGCATTAAATTGTAAACAAAAACAAAATAAAATAAAAGCAGTAACAAGTAATTTACTTGTAGCAAAACTTTAATCAATGAGACCAAGATAATTTTCTTTATCAATACATTTACGTTAAAGCATCGGTTTCTCAAAAAACATAAATCTTGTGTGATTAACTAACGTTGCTAAAAAAAATTACATAGAGCTACTAGTAGTGCTTTATCGAGCTGATTGTCACTTGCTTCAAGGTGACCATAAACAAAAGTGGCCATTTTGTGATGTTATAATAGTTTCTTAAAATATTTCAACTTAATTTATAAACCAAAACATTTATTTAATTAAATTAATAACAAAATTTTGTAAAAATGTTTAATTATATAAAAAGCCTTTTTGGTTTCGTAGAAAGTGAGAAAAATCCTTTTTTACGCAAAATCAATCAAATGATGAAAATTTTACACCTGTTCCTCATGTTTTAAATATTAAACACAAACCTAATTTTATTTTTACCCAAAAAACAATTTTATTTGATGAGTTAATGAATATACAAAATTTAATCAGTTTGGGTTTGATACGTATAATTCATCTTGTATGTGAAGAACAAATCAATTTTTTTTCTAAAGCAAATTTTGTTAAAAAATGCTCAAAACTTTTTTTAAATAAATTAGAGCTTCAAAAACACTTATATGAAGAGCATGGTATAATGAAATATCGATGTTTTGGCTGTTATTGTAGCAAGATATCTTTTAATATTGAGTAAGTTTTTTACAAATTTGCACAATGTATAAAAACAATTTTTTAATTTTTACAATTTCCAAAATTGCAAAAATAATTTTGTTGTTTTACACATTTTCAAGAAAATATCTTAAACTTCATTTTAACGATATTCATTATAACGGAGTTAAATGCAAAGTATGTTTAGAAAAATTTAACTCTATTGAAAACCTTAAAAACCACTACACTTTTTTTCATCAAACTGGCGTTTACGAGTGTTCTTTGTGCAAAAACTGCGAAGTTTCATTACAAAAAATATACGTTCATTTTAAATTGTGTTCCGAAACATACATTTTAAATAAAAACATTGAGCATTCAACATATAAATTATTGATTACTTATAAAGGTAAATTTAAAACAATTGATGAAACTATGAACAATGTATTAGAAAAAGCATTTAAAGCAAAAATTAAATTAATTGAAATTACAACTAAACTAAGTTATTTACAATCATTAGCAACATTTAAAAACAAACAATTTGTAAACAATTTTTCTCAAACATGTGTTCAAAAAAATATAATATCTAAAAGCGTAAAATCTATTTATCAGCAAACCTACATATCTAATAACAAAATTATAAATATACAAGGGCTCAGTTGCGCTCGCTTCGCTCACGCCACACTTAACCGTG